GTTTTAATAAAATTAATGTACATTAACTGAATACAGGAATATTCCTATCACATTTTAATGCTTTTATAACTTAACTTTAATCTATAAAAAAGACAAACAAACTTGCTAGAAATTATATTAAATATTACAGCGCATAAATGACATACTAGTACAAGAAGCAGAAACAATGGCCACATTAAGATTATAATTATTGCAAAACCAGTACGACATCGCTCGAATGAAGAAGTGGCAGTAAGAATTTAATTAACGGAGATTGTTAAAGAACTCGTTACTTCTCTCATTGTGAGCACGGCAGTACGCGTCTCGGCTGACTACAAGAACAACCGCTGTCGCGCACCAGAGGCTCGGCACACACGACGCCTAACACTACGGATCGAGTCCTACCTACCGCACACACGTCTCGAGTAACGCGGCGTCTGTTCATTTACTTCTACGCACCACCACGCGCGCAAGCGCGCCATGTCGAAATGCATGAAATCTAAATTAAATCTCTTTGATTACGAACCGCTCCCACCATTTCATTACCGAACGAGTCCTCGGGAATGAAACAGCATTAAAACGACGATACCCGGAGTGAGTAAAATGACGGAAAAGCGACGGGTGGCGCCGCGCCGGTTGCAAGCAAGGCGAACCGTTCCCCGCCCCCGCCCTGCATGTCGGCCCGTTTATCGCTGGTAGCCGGCATGTAAGTCACGCTACCCCGCGGCTTGGGCTTCAAAGCGCCGCGCGGCCGCACGGCGTCGTGTCGCCCCGCCCGCCTGCCCGCCCGCAAGTCGAGCCGGCCGGCCCCCGGCGCGGCGAGCCAGGGCTAGGCGGGCGTAGGGTTGCGCGCCGAAGTAACTGCGCAGATTAGCGAGCCGATTGTTCCAGATGAACTAGTGCGACACACGCCCTCGTGTAAGTTCCGTAGCAACGGTAATTAGAACCAATAAAATTACATCGAACGTGCTGTTCAATAAATTATTCTACAAGTACATAAAATTACGATCAAATAATGAACAATGTCGAAGATAATGAATGATAATGAAATATATTATCTACTCCGTTTTAATACAATGTTATTTTTCTAGAAATTCAATAAATCACATTGTACTAATTGCTCCTCTACAATTTATCAAACAATAATATTGAAAAATGTAAATATACAAAAACTAGTTTCAAATAAATAAAATAACTTCAGTAACAATCTTTAACGAATATGTCTACGTTGATATTTTAGAACGAGTATGTCATCAAAAGGAAGTGAAATCAGGTCGACACGAAACGGGTTTATTTTAAGCGCAAGACATGATTAAAATGGAAATAAAGCTGAAGTCATCAAAATATTTCATAATCTAGAACATGAGTATACCAATGTCTGGACTCGAATGACTTTATTGCTGTCACGTTATCAATTTAGTGATTGTTTTATTCAGATATGAAATCGTAGCTATAATTTCCATTTTGTTTTTCTTTTAATGAAGAAAAATGACAGTAAGTTTCCGAAAAAAAAATTCTTGTACTTATGTCGTTTAGTTATTCTTGAAAATCAATAATTTAGATAATATGTCAATCACTAGAATGTGTTTATAGAGTAAACTATAGTTTAGAAACATTCGATTTACCAGAATAAAATTAAATTCTAGAACTAGTTTTTTTGGTAATTCTATTTATTACTATGTTCCGAGCATAAACCTGATAGAAAAAGCGGCGCTCATACATTTCTTTTTGAAGTGCATTCATCAGAAAAACTGTAAATCAATTTAGTTCATAAATTCGGGCTTGAAGAATCAACGAGTATGAATGCGTGTATTAGAAGTCCGAAAACTTATTTAATTCAACATAATACTCAAAATTTATTAGAATATCTATTTATCTCGGAATTTATCATTGCACAAAACTCGCAATATTTAATCCGTCTTTAGTTACAAAATGACGGGTAAGATGCCGACAATGTTTAAAAGTATATTTATAAAGGGATAAAACTCCTTGACTATTCCTTGCATCATGAACAGAACAGGCAATTTATTACCAAATCTAACTCGTTTCATGTAAGTTTCTACTAGGCATGAAACAATGTGAATATAATTATTTCCACATATCACTGAGTAACTAACATTATCTAATATGTTGTATAGGGTTAAAATGACGATTTTTTCAGAAATAACGGATAAAGTAATCCAAGGATATGATTGAAAAAAATTCCAATTTTTGGCAAAATAATTACTGCAAATACGTGGAGATTTGAAACTTCGGCCTATTGATACGTTATTTCTGTTCGGCTGCTTACAGTGTCGTCGTTGACTTCTCGGAAAGAAAAGTTGAATTTTTATTCCAAAGCATCGCCGGCATCTTTGATATATGTTCAGTCAATAAGTTTACATATAAACATCCTGGTAAAGCAACATTGACATCCAAGTCACATGAAATCTCAAATTCGCACTGTAACCAACTGTCCAACTGAGGCGTCAGGAACGCTGAGAGTTATACATTCCGTTCTTATGGCGGAAACTATCAGCGGTAGTAGCGGTAGCCTGCCACGACGCCCCTCGCACACATGTCCCCCTAACATCTAATTTGCATGCTTTTATCCTAATAAGAGTAAATATCGCTTCGCGCATACGGATTCGCCAGTGGAGGATTCGGAGTAACGCACACACGGGGACAGTCGGCAGAAGGCGCTGTCATCGCGCGTGTCAGCCACTTCTCGGTAACACGACTCCTGAGTCATCTTCGTTGGCTTGAGCTTCTGTTCATCTGCCCTCGACGTGTTTGATGAAGCCACTTGCGGTCGATATCGAGAAAGGATGAAGGCCAATTGCTACCTCGCACAATTATTTGATTTAGATAAAATGTCCCGCATTGGCCTTCACGGACAACCAGGATCACGAGAGTAATTTGATATAACATCGAAAACGGTATATTTATAATGATACAGAAATCTTAGATTGTATGAGTATATACGACAGAAAGCATACAATAGAATGTACGCTTCTATTCTCAGAATAAACTCGACATACGGAATTTAAATAAAATTCAAACGTATTTGAACGCATAATCATATTACGAATGTTAATCAAACTGAATAAATTTTCGGCGACGTGCGTTTTCACAGCTGCAGATTTGCTCAGGAATTAAGGAATGTCGTCACATATCGCAAACAGGACGCCTACCTGTCTCGCATCGCCTCCTCTATTGGCTCCTCCAACGCACGGAGCCGCACACGAAGGCCGCGCAAAAATCCACCGCGATTCCCGGCCCACTTGAGCGCTCTTCATACATTTTCCAGATCTCAGTCGGGCGCAACGGCAGCGCGCGCCAGTGTTTACGAACGACCAAACGGGGCGCCGAACGCGCGCGGAAACGGACAGCAAACGACACAATGTAAGTAAACGCGCGGAGATTAGAGTAAACGCCGTCACCCCGGCGAACGACACGTCCCCGCGAAGCACCACAATCAAGCGGTCGCGGCGATAAGAGAAGCCAGGCGCCCGCGCGGCCTGCGCAAACACGCGGGCGGGCGGCGGGCGACGCCGCGCGGCCGCGCTGGGCGCCTTCCAGCGCCGCCGCCTTCGAAAATAAACGAGGCGCCAGCAACGGCGCCGCCGCCACGTGTTAGCACCCCGCCGGGCCGCCCACCCGCCCTGGCCCTCGCGCCACCCCAGGTAGCCGCGCGCAGGGGTGGCAGGCGGGCACGAGAGCGGTTTTATCTCAGGCGACCCGGGTGGGGTTGGGGCTAAAAGCCCGCGACACAAGTCATCCGTGTGACAAATGTATGGCAGGGGGCTTCGAAAACTACACGAAACTCTTGCTATTATTGCCGTTATCGACACTGTCAAAATTCATTACAATTGTCTTAATATTCCAAAGTATTACATTGTAAACATTCCGAAATAAAAACTATTTGAAAAATGCACGCTTTCAAGGAATATCAATAACAATCCATTCTTTATATGCCATAGGACAGTATTTTCTGATACACAGATATGTGGATAATCGCCGTCGAGAAAATCTCGAAATTTCAGAAGTAAAGAGACATTTCCGATCTGACACGGGGTTTCTAGTCTGATTGAACTACAAGTCCTAAAATATTATTTTATTGAGTTGTAATAGGGAATGTATACATTATCTCAAACAATAGTAATTGAGAAATGTCGAAAGCACGTTATTATTACTTCTAAATAATTTTGTTTATTTATTTACATATTAATGTACATATACAGTTAGATAAATGGTTACGCACAGAAGTTACAATAATTTTTATTTATTTTTCCAAATTCACGACGACAGAGAATCTTATCATAATTTGGTTTCTATCATCATACAAGTTTTGATTATTAGTTTGATATGTTTTTAATCTCGTCGTCGAAATCTATCAAATAACCTCTACAAGATGCACAAAAGCAACAATGACCAATATTAATAAACTCAATTGAATATAAATGATAATTAACACAGAATGACAACTAAAAATGTTCCATTGTTTTCTTGTAATGGAAATTCATAATCATGACATTATTAAATCAACATTTGTGGAGAGCCTAATGATATTCATACACAATATTTCTTAAATCGCCACGTATAATAACAATAATAACATCAGCCTGACAAAGGAAATATTTCGCAAAATCCTTCATCATGAACATTGAGTTATCAGATGATGCAAAAGAAATCTGGATTAAGAAGGGCATTCCATTGCATTGAAAGATAAATTAACATCAACTGAAAGTCCAACTACTGCAACTTAAATAAAATGGCATTGCCCGTGTTATTTTGACAAGAGAATTACAAGTTGTTTTTTAGACGACAATATTGCAAAAAAAGTCGTTATACACATTGTCGCCTAAAACCGCATAGCTTTTCACTAGATCTACTAATGTTGTTACAAAATTGTGAAAAGTAAAAGCGAAACATATGCAATATGAAGGTAAATTACACACGCTCAATTAGCTAATGCAACGACCGAGTATCCTGTCGTCTTATCAGCATCATTAATAATTATCACTGCTCGAGTGGGGTCATCACTGATCGACAACGTCCTTCTGATTAGACATTGAAACTTCGCGGTTTATCAACTCGTTCCATGTGTGCGGCTGCTTGCCAAAAGCACTTGCAAGCGCGAAATAAGGCCTACTCGCCACAGGCCGGCCAGTCGCAGGCAGTTGGCGCAGAGCACCTGGCCACCCAGGCAGCACGCCGTCCCCCGCGTCGCCAGCCCCCCGGGCCCCGGGCACACGGGGACGCCCCCGCGCCTCGCCCTCCCCTCCCCCCGCCCCGCCCCGCGCGCGCGCGCCGCGCGCGCGCTCGCTCACGTGGCGGCGGCCCGCCGCGACACTCACAACGCTCCCGTCCACGTCACTGTCGTGGGGGTCCATCTGGTACAAACGGCCGGGGTCTCTGTTTTTGACCCGAATTTTGGCAGCTTTTAGGCACACCACCACACGAAAAAACTTGAATCCTTCTTCTCGCCTCGTCGCCGCCTCCTCCTCCTCTTCCTCCCTCCTTCGTGCGGGCGCTCGGCTCCGGTGGCAGCGGGTGGTGGCGGTGCAACTCGACGGAGGCGGGCTGGCGGTGGGCGGAAAGCAACAGGGGGGCGCGGCACTCGCGAGAACACACTGTGCAGGGCTGCCTGATGCGCGCAGGCGACGCGCGGCTGGCTCGGCTACGGAGACACTACGGGGCCCGAGCAGAGGCGCGCGCCGCCGCCGCCGCCGCCGCGGCCCCCGCCCCCCGGCGCGGCAGGGGCTCCGCCCGGCGTCCGCCAATCGCCGCGCGAGGGGGCGCCGCGGCGCGGGCACGTCGGCGGGGGAGGGCCTGCGCGCTGGCGCCCGCGCGCCCGCGCCAATAGCCGGCGCTCCAGCCGCGCGGCGCGCGCCCAATGGCGACGCGGCGCGGGCGACGCCGCGCAGGGTCCCACGCCGCCGCCGCCACCCTCACCGCCGCCGCCCGCGCCGCGCCGCGCCCCGCGCCCGCGATAAGCAAATAGAGCAATTAATCACGGCGGCGGCCGCCTCCGCCATGCTGGCTGCTGCCGGCGGCGGGCGGCGCTCGGCACGCGAGCCCGCCCGCCGCCGCATACCACACGCCAACAGCCGCCGACGGCCCCACGCGGCGTCGCGGCGTCTCAGACCGGTGCCCCACAGGAAAGGGTTCTGCGAGCAAGACAACACAGCTCTCTCAATGAACCTAGCGATGCAATGATTCCGTTGCCAACATGGGGATTGTGCCCCAGTCTTCGAAATATTAGGCTCTATGGATTTCGTTTCAATGAAAGCTAAGATCAAAATCAGTCATTCAGATTGGTACAAGTGTGTTAAAATTAAACGTTATATAGAACCACAAACAGTTTTCAATTACTTCGTTATCTGCACTGTATAGATTTCTTCCGTCAGTCATTCAATGAGATCACACAATATAAATTCTTCAATGATATTTCCTCAACCAATAACACTTTAGTTTACTGTAACTATGATCTAAAGAATACCTAACGGCTGCACGAATGTTGTCTTTTTCAGACTACATACAACGTTTCTTCTCAAATTTGTTTCGGATCTGGGCAAAATAGTACATATTCGACAAAACATGCCATGATCACCACTGTCGTCAGCCAGTGAAAACCAGCTTCGTCTTTCAATACCTGAGGGGTACAAGCACAATGGGCAATTTACTGTTTGTTTTTATTGTCTTCCCTTTTCTAAATGGTAGGGGAACGTCATCTTTTAGGGAGGTGTTCTCCCTACCTGGTAGTAACGATGGAGTCCACCCAGTACTTGTAAAAAGATAAACCGTTACGTTGCCACATGTAACGTAGTTCATACAATACAGGGATGCAACGACACTACATTTCAAAGTAAAACAATGAGATAGAATACAGTCTGATATTTTTCTCTGAAACTTATTGTCGGAATTAATATTTTGCACTTCAGATATCTGGAAACCACAAACATGTACAATTCAAAAATATTGAACATTTAATAAGGTCAAGAGTATCTATTAAACATTCAATACACGTTCCAGATCGTATTTAAAATGAGATGAGTTACCATTTTGTCGACAAACTGTAATCGTACAAATTCCTTACGTTCTAAATTTATATTAGGCTAAGATTATTTTTTAAATTATTGCATTCCGTTCGTCAAATTCGTCTTTAGAGGATTACAGGGTACATTAGAATTCTTAACAAAGCATTGAAGATATGGCCATCTATAGGCCTAGATTGCTTTACTTCTCTGAATACTAATATACTCGGAGAATAGTTCTATGTAGGAAGGTAGTGAGACGTTGATGGGTAAGGGGCAGATGATTAGGTGTTTTGGAAGTTTGAATCGGTCTTTTGGGAATGTGGATTAAATGTGGGGTGTACTATTGTTTATTCCTAAGCTGAATATCTAAGAGCAGGGTAGGAAAACATGTCGATATAATTTTTGGCTAGTTGTTTCACCGGCATGGTGAATTCTGATATATCCAATTTCGTCGGATATATTATTTGAGGATGAAACTTGGTGCATTTAATGTTTATCTGAGGTATTTATTTTTGCCTCTTCGTAGCTTCTTGACAGTGTTTGGCGCAGACCTTTATGAGGCAGACGTATGTTAAAATACGTAATAGGAGGATTTGAAAATTAATTTTCTGAATTTTAGTATCAGCGGTGAATCTCGATAATTAATTCACGTCTTTTGCTGTAAAGTACTCCTAAGAGCTTTTCTGGCAAGATTGACACTGATCTATCAGTTCCTTATCACTGTGGAGATGGCCGAGAGTAACAACTTGGTTTTGCTCGTGCTTGGGTTAATTGTAATTCTTGGTTTATTCCAAATACGTATCTACACTGATTTTCAGTTGATATTTCGCTGATAATAAATCTGAATTTGTAGCATGAACGCCACATGGTGGGCATAGAGCGCTGCGTCCGCGCCCGCTTGGCTTCACAGCCCGCGACGCGGCATCAGCCGGACAGCCAACAGCGCTCGCAATGAGGCTGTACCATTCATGGCCAGAAAACCCGTACGTGTAGAGCTGCTGGATAGGAAATATATGAAACTGATGTAATTTAGGATTTTGTAGATTATTATACGTAGAACGTGAAAGATACGTACAACGTGTAGATTGTGATACGTAGAATCAGAAGCACAAGACAATATGGAACACCGTCACCGGTTGTGCCAACTTCGGAAACGAAACGATGCATCCTACGCCTTTAAAAACGGCTTGCCGGCTCTGAAAGGCGGTTCGGGTCGTTTCTTTTGTCGAAATATTCAAAATAGATCTTGTCCTATTGCATCAATGGAGGATTAGATTTGCTTAATACACTCACACTGCAGCATGTGCCGACAGAATCGTACAGAATCTCAGAAATACAAACAAGTAAAATAAAATTGTGTTGGTGTGACTGATTTAATAGCTGCCTTTGTCAAGGTTCGGCGTGGAAAATTATTGATGATTATGGATATAATGAGAGGAAGTGGAAGGTTGGTTGAGAGATATCTACTCAGAAACAAGTTGCAGGATGAGAGTGGGTTAATTTGAAAGAAAGGGTTTTCGGGCTAACAAACGTTTGAGATAAGGATACCCCTTGAGTCCAACATTGTTGAATACATATTTGACAGAATTAGGAGGGTATTTGGAAGAGGGCAAGGGAATGTAGTTACACGAAGGAAGATTTTATCCCTAGCACATGCGTATGATTTTGTGAGAAAGCGTGTGATGGCAAGAGTTGAGGGATGCATCAATAAAGTGTTAAAAAGATTAGAAAAATCCTCGATGATAGGAAGATGGCACTCAACGAACAGAAAAGTAAGTAAACGTTTAGTAAAGGAGGGGGAAATATTTAAAGGGCAATGGAAGGAGACCGATATGGAACAGGTTATATATCAATATCTTTATCTATATAAATCTATATATACATATATATATGAGAGAGAGAGAGAGAGAGAGAGAGAGAGAGAGAGATTCTCCGAGCGAATAAAATTATCTTCGCCGTCAGGAACCGAGGCAAATCGAGATCTCTCAGCAGCTAGGGACAATGGAACGAACACTGGGAGTCAACATCGATGAGAGCATCGAGTCAACAGCGGAACCGAATGTTTACTTCCGAGTCAACACGAGAAACACACACTCCAAGTCAACAGTGGATTTGGGGTTTACAAAATGATCTTGGAATCAATCTCTCTTTAGAAGTTCACCGACAAGAATGTGAAGAACAGTTGGATGCGTACGGATACATGACGGCCATAAGGTAGGCACTAACCTGAGCTCGCAGCGTCAATTGCTGAAGTCACTGAAGGCCACATTCTGCGTAGCCTCCACTGAAGGCCATATATAGCAGTAAGCACAAATTGCATTGATCGTTAAACATTTGCGAACGTATAATTTGAAAGTAAAAGTCCAATCTTTTCTTACGTCAACGTAATTTGACACTTATAAGAGTGTGGGAAAAACCAATTCTATAAGATTTTTGAAGTGAATGAGTGTAAAGGAGAATGTTATTGTTTGAAAATAATTTGAATAAAGTATGAATCAGTAGTGATGGGAAGATAACTATGAATGTTAGGAACTGTTATTGTGAAGGAACAGCCTAGAAGAAACAGATATTATGAAAGTAAAAATTGAGTAGAAGGAGATTAGTAATTTGGATGAGGAGAAAGTGAAACTCGGGTACATAATTATACATTATAGAATTTCAAAAACTAAGTTAAGTAAAAGAATTGAGGTTTGTTGCATCTGAAATACATATCAATGATCTGAAATTGGAAGAAGAAAAATACTTGTGATGTAAGGGAATTAAATTTAGAATTGAGATTTGCGACGTAAGAATTGAAAATGCTGAAACGATAAAAGAAAAATGTGATGTATTCTGTTTTCTTTTAATGTCATAATTTGACAAGGGAAAGAGTGTAGAAAATACTTTTTTTCCGTTTTCTCTTTTTCATAATGTATGAGTTGATGGTTGTCAGTTTAGTTTTCAAATAACGAATGAAAGGGCTAAAAAACAAAGCATCTTGTTATTTTGGGTTCCGTTAAATATTGAGTGTGTTTCCTTATTACATGCGGCCCTTGCCGAACCCCTGTAAGATAAAATTCGTTATGGAATTAATTTACTACATCTTGTTACCATGACGAGTTGACTGACACGATAGAAGTTTTAACTTTTGTCTCAATTATTTGAAAACGACGCTTTACAAAGATTTCGCTTCAATAACTCTAAAACTTCTCAAAAATTAATTTTCATTTTTTCAGAGGAAGTAATTCAAGTAGAAATAAGTATGTGGTAGTAAAATGGGTACAGTGTGTTTTTTACTTTAGGATTCCTGAAAAAAAGCTTATAAAAATAGTGTTTATTTAAAGAAAATGTTTTATGAATGTACAGAATGTTTA